ATAAAAGTAAAATGTGAAACTAAAGAAAAGAAAATGAGGGTGTGGTTAGTTTGGCCAGGTGCAAAAGGGTACTGGTCAAGAAATCATCTTACATAAGGCGAACTTAACATAGTTCTATGAAATATGTTACAGAATCTGCAAGGCTTTTGCAGTTTTTATCCTCTTTCCTAGAAGATGTGGCATTCTACAAATTAAAAGGAAAATTCTCTTTGCTGAACCTTCAAAGGAACTAGAACTTCCTCTTACAGGGCCCTCCTATGCCAACACACTCCAAGGCTTTTGTGTGTGGCTTTGCTTCATTAGGACAAATTTATGTCAGTTAGGAGCACAATGACCCACATTCAATCCAAGTTAAGTACTTTATAAGCTCTTCCAAACTTCTGAAATGTTATAAGCAGATTTTGCTTCTCTGATTTTGGTAATAAAATATAAGTCCAAGTAACATCTTATTCCTGGATTATACAATGTTTATTTCCAAGTTCCTTTCAGTGAAAATGAGGAACTGTCCCTTCTTCGAAACCCTGTGGTTATATGAAAGTGCACACTGTATATAGCGTTCCCTGGGATGATATTCAGAACTTTTCTTTCGTGTACGAAGGAGAAAAACACACATCCTTTAGGAAGAGTGGTATGACACTGTCATCCTTACGCTTTGACCCTCCTGCTCATCACTGGAACAGCTGGCTTAATGTAACAGTAATTTACGGTCCTCAGCTGGAAGGCTGCAGAGAATTCTTTATTATTCAGAGGTCAGCAAATGCCAGCAATGTTATTGAAGTGGTAATTGAATTCTGTGAACCCTCTGTGGTCCAGCCAGCATAGCAATGCTTGCTAGGACCATGTGATGTGGTAAAGATGAATACATTTCCAACAATAATGGATCTTCAGCTGAAACTTGATAGCACACAGCCAAAAGGACATACTGTTTTGACGATTTGACTTATGACATTGAGCATTTTGGAGTGGAACCCGTTCAGAAGCATGACAATGTGTACTTACAAAGAAGATACTCGGAAAAAAGTCTAATACTGCCTAAAAATCTCTATGAAAAACTTCATTGAAAATTTCATCAAGTAGAGCTTTGCATATGACAAATTATCTCCTTGTCTAGTCAAAGCTGTCCTTGCCTCATTCTTTAATTGAATCCTTGTGTGGGAAAAGAAAATTCCTGAAATTATATTTGATGATAGTTTTCAATGAAATGTGCCTTATCACTACTCCAGCAATTAAGTGCTTTCAAAGTTTCACATTCACAGAATGATCTCAACAGCCTCACTACTTTGCAATGCTGTTTCTAAAAGAACATTTATGGTTTGGGAAAATAGCTCACAAATGAGAACTGTTGGAATTGTTTTGGTTGCTGAAAATATACTTGGCTTCAGAGGTTGTGGCACTGTGAGAAGGAAACAGCTTTGGCTCTGAGCTTAGGCAGACCCTGAGTTTGAATCCTTGTTCTTTCACTCACTCTGTCCTTAATAGGTCATTAAGCTACTGGAGTATCTTCATTTTTCCCTGCAAAAATGAGCTCTATAGGGACTAAGGAGATGGCTCAGTTGGTAAAGTGCTTGTTGCACAAGCATGAGACCTGAGTTCAGATCCCTAGTACTTACATGAAAAGCCAGATGTGAAAGTGCACCTCTGTAATCCAAATGCTGGTGAGCAGGAGACAGGAGGATCTCTGGGGCTTGCTGGCCAGCCAGTTTAGCCAAATTGGTGAGCTTCAGATTCAACAAGAGACCCTGTCCCCCCAAATAAGGTGAGGAGTGATTGGGAAAGACTCCTGATATTGATCTGGCCTCCACACACATTCACATACACCCCCACATATACACACAGACCTCCCCACAAAATGAGCTATATAATCTCTCTCTACACTAATTACATAGTATAAAGGACAGTTCTTGGTTTTACTAAATACTTATTGCACTCAAAACTGTCATTTGCAGGCCTCCTATCTCCTAGACACAATCCAGTACCTATAAACACATATTATTTTAAATATATTTAGTATTTTTTTTTATGTGCACCGGTGTCATGCAATGCCACTGAGGTCAGAAGAGGGCATTGGATTCTCCTGGAACTGGAGTTAGGGACGGTTTGTAGCCTCCATGTGGGTGCTGGGAATCGAACCTGGGTCCTCTGCAAGAGCAGTCAGTGCCCTTAACCACTGAGCCATCTCTCCAGCCCCAACACATATTATTTTAATCCTCTGTAGCTAGTGCTTAGAGTGACTGACTCGTCTTTCTTTGCCTGGAATAGCCCCCCCCCCTTTTAACGGCTGAAAGTCTTGACCTTCCAGGACAGCTGAGGACAATGTAAAGCAGTTGGTCACTCCATTAATATATGGTCTAATCTTATAAGTGTGGAAACAGACTCAGAATTCAAACCCAGGCTTCAATAAATCTCCAGTTGGTGCTTTCTGCAGTCCTAAACTCTGCTCAGCCAATGTTGGTTCCCTTGCCACAGGAACATTCTGAACTTTACAAATATTCATACGTCAGATCACATTTTTGTAACCTTTAATTATAATTTCAGGAATGCATGTATGAAGGGGTGTTTGTATGTGTTGGAGAGTGAGAAATAGTGACGGTAATAACGAAAGTTTAAAAGCCTAGCATTTATTCCAAAGAACATTCGATGTTTTGTCAAGGCAGAAAACATTCGTTTGTTTATTCATTCATTATCGGGTATAGGGGAAGGAATGCTGTGTGTAAGAGACTTGGGGAGAGGTGAAGAAGGCTAAGACACTCAACATGCTTATAATGGGAGCATGAAGAGTGGGCTGTAAAACAGACTCATGTCCTTCAAGGCCATCTCCCAGCTCCGCTCTCACAGGATGCTGAGCTATGGAAGATCACGTGGGTCTTCTTTGACGCTACTGGTCTTTTTTTTTTTTTTCTTTCTTGTTTTGCATTATCTGCTATATGTAACTGGAGGGCTTTCTCACGTTTTCATCGTTATTTGGAGGAAATGTCAGCTCTTCAGACTCAGCTTTCCACACTACCTCAAGCTGAATGAGTCGCCGATTTTACTATAGGATGTATTTCTTCACTATTGAATATTTATCCTCTCTATTCACTGCGTTTTGTTTTAGCCTTTTCAAGCAGAGCATAAACACCAGAAAGAGTGGGTAACCTGTTTATTTTATTCTTTATCCATGGCTGTGTTTATAAGATCTAAAACAGCACTAGGCACAGAGAACAAACTATTTGTTGACTGAGCAAAATGAATGAATTAGTAAATGCTTTGTTTCTTGAAGGGGTGACTATCCCTCCATGATGGAGTGGAGTTGTCAGAGGAACTGCTTGAAGGAATATCCTGATCCATCCTTATTATTATTATTTTTTTAGTTATAAAGGTAGTATATTTTTGCTTTAAAAATGTTGGCAATCGTAAAAAAGGTAAACAGCTGTAAGGCTAATCTTTATATCACATAATATTTTGCTGTACAGTCTTTCCTAGGTCTCCTTGATTGGTGTTCATAGATGTTGTTTTGAGACAAGGTCTTGCTGTAGCACAGGCTAGCATTAAACTTGTGATCCTCCTGCCTCAGCAGGAATTACAAGGAAGCATTACCACACTTGACTCTCAAAGATATCTTCAAACAAAAACACAATCCCTCTTCTTTTTTAAAAAAATTTTATTTATTATTTTTATTTTATGTGTATGTGTGTATTGCCTGAATATAGGTTAAGCGCACCTGTGTGTTGTGCAATGCCTGCGGAGGTCAGAGAGGCTGTCGGATCCCCTGGACTGGAGTTACGGACAGTTGTTAACTGCCATGTGGGGGCTGGGATTTGAACATGGGTCTTCTGCAAGAACAACCAGTGTTCTTAACTGCTGAGCCATCTCTCCAGCCCCACACAATTCCTCTTTTCATAGTTCTCTACCTTTACGGAGGTTATACTTTCTTATCTTTTTGTTTTTTCATTTTTGTGTTAAAGATTCCTTTGTTTTTCATCAAATCAGATATGTTGAAGAACATGGAGTCAAACAGCATGTGTTGTATAGATGTGTGTGTCCCTGTATGCATGTGTGGAGGTCAGAGGTTGATGTCAGGGATCTTCCTCCCCACCTTATCTTTTGAGAGAGGGTCTCAAATGAATTAGTAAATTCTTTGGTTTCTCAAAGGGGCAGCTAACTCTACGTGAGGGAGTAGAGTTGTCAGAACTGCTTGAAGTAACATCTTGATCTCAGAGCTTGCTGTTTCAGCTAGAGTGGTAGGCCAGTGAGTCTCAAGGATCAAAAGCTGCCTCCATTCTTCTCCAGCTCTGAGATTAGAGATAAGAAGTTCCACACTCGGCTTTTACATGGGTGCTGGGGAGTCAAACTCAGGTCCATAAGCTTAGCAGTAAGCACTTTACCCACTGACCCATCTCCCTGTACCCCACCTTTAAAAAACCTTTATTTTTTTTTTTTTTTTTTTTTTTTAAGTTTTCTCATGAGTAACCTTGGAACATGAAAAGTACTGACCTGATGTTACTGTGCAAATTAAATGATAAAATGGAAGGAAAGTGCTTAGCCCAAGGTAAGTATGCAATAAATGTTAGACGACCTTGATAATTTACTATGAATCAACACCTAGAACTCTGATTTGCTTTCCAGTGAATTTAAAGGCAAATATAAACTAGCTATAAAGATGGATGGGAAGGAGGCCATTGTCTGAGAAAGCAAAGTTGGAATAAAAACATATTTTAATTATGAGAGAACTGTAGATTCATACTGCACCTGTCAGAAAATTCAAAGTATGAAATTTTTGTTAACTGTGGTTCTCATATTACCCAGACAGAGCCTTGGACATTGTCCTGCTCTGAGTCATCACTGAAAATACAGATGCCCCTCAGTAGCCCCGAGAGAATGGGTTCAAGATCTCCTTGGAAACCATAATCCATAGATGCTCAAGGCCCTTATACAAAATGGCATAGTACTTTATACAACATGTATACACCCTGCTCCTTAGATTACTGATAACAACCAATATAATGCTTATACAATGCAAATAGTTGTTATATTTTATTGTTTAAGGAACAATAATAAAAGATCTGCAAGTTCTGTATCTATGCAACCACTGCAGGTCAACTGCACTGTAACATCAGCTACATGTAACACTTGTTTTTCCTAATATCTTCAATCCATGGTTGGTTGCATCCATGAGCTGATGGATATGGATAGGCATCAAGAGAAGACTGATTTCTCTTGGGCCATGAGGCTGGGGATAGGTGGCCCTTTAATTTCATAAGGGAGTGAGAGAAGTGAATTTGCTTCTTCAGATAGAAAATTTAAATTTGTATATAGGAGTGTCTGGTGGGCCTTCTGGAGAATCAGGAATGGAAATGATAGTTTGAGCAAATGGTGCAGAGAATGTTTGAGATATTGGCAGTAGAAATTACATACCACAGTAAATAATGTTTTTTCACCCATCTTATAAGAAGTTCTGAGCACACCACAAAATATTTATCCTTCAATAGATGCTATTGATGTCCTATTTAATTCATAAATTTTTATTTTTAGTAAACAACATTAAACTTTTAACACAAAACTAATACCAGAGTCACACACTGATACTATTGTGTTTTTCTAAAGTCATGTCTGACAAGTAGAGAAATTAAAAAGACTATTTTACAAAATGTATAATTTATATTTTTATAAATACTTTAAGGAGAAAAGTGGAACACACGTGGTGATATTAGAAGAATACACAGGCTTAATTTTATAGTATCTTGTGAGCATGATCTGTTGGACACACATATATGTATACATGTATACCTTGTTCGTGAGCTTCCATAATTATGACCCAAGGATGTGTTCTGAGCAGGTCTTTAAAAATTCTAAGTTCTCACAAAAGTAGTGGATTTCGCTCTTCTTCAAAACTTCACTAAAACATGTTTGAAGGTCATCAGAGGTTATAATCAGGTGCCTTGGGCCTCAATGCATGGTATACTTACTTATATGAGAATTCCTGCTGAATTATGAATGTGTGAGCCTTGGCAGCCTCCAGGATACAAGTGATGAGGCTGAGGGGCCCTGTCATCTCTGCATTGGGAGTTTTCTGTTCAGCTTCTTTCTGTTGGAAAGGAGTCAATTTGTCTGCAATGGAGGAAGTTCATGACACCAGTCTACTCAATTAACAAACATTTCATTGCTGTAGATACAGCATGTTTCCTACCTAGAATATAACTAAATGGAAAATTAGTCTCTGAACTTCCTGTTCAAGAGCTTTATTTTCCTTTGATCTTGGACTTGGAAATGCAGAGTTGACCTACCCCAAAAGGAAGGCCAATAGAGATCCCACAAATCAACCTCAATCTATGGCAAAATATTTGTACAACATGTTCAATATGATCTTAGATTTCACCGTGTCATTCATTACTGTGACATTTACTTGGAACTGAACTAGTACATGACAAAATAAGATGAGTGTAATGTGATACATTCTACAAAGTTAAATCATCTATTTGACTTTTAAATTTATACAAATTTGTACTTGTCATCAACATTACAGGAAAATGTCATCTCCAAGCTGTATCCTGAGCTTACCTTGATTATCTTTCATTACAAAAAGATAAATATAAATGACCTCGTATGATCACAGAAAAATACACAGGACTCAAGGATGCAATACGGTTCTTCATCATGTTTCTTATACTCAGCTGATGGTGAGTCATGGGCAGTAACAATTTGCCTCCATAGGTGTACTTCCTGGGACACATGTTACATGTCTCCTCTGCCAGTCTTCAGCTCCAGCTCCTGGAGGAAGGCCTCATTGTTCTGAGGACAGTTAGTGTGACAAGTGCAGGTTCCTATGACCATCACTGGTTTCTTGATGGTTTGCCCTGGGGAGCACTGGAACTCTACCTGGATGGTTTTGGTGTTGTGGGGGGTGCAGCACCGGCCATCACTACAGACCCCGCAGAACCTGGGCTTATAGGTGTGTAGGCTGGTACAGTTCTTAAACTGCAGATGCATGGCTTTCAGTGACTTCTTGGTACGGAGACATTTTTTTCCTTTCTAAGAAAGAAGAAAAGAGTCCTGCATAGAAAGATTGCCATTCCTCTGAAGGACCATTTTAGCAGTGTGGGAGAACCTTCTGGGTGTCCATCCAGTATCTACTGGTTTCCTTCTTTACTAACAGAACACTGATTCTGTTTGGGGACTGTTGTCAGCTAGAATGGGTTGCGTCCCCAGAATACATAGGATCTTGTGATAAATTTCTAGCTAATTATAACACAAATCAAAAAATTCTGTGACATTCTTTGCCTTTTGGACAGGTAAAATTCTTTTTCTTTTGATTGGTAGATACTTTTTATTATTATAATTTTTTATTTATTGAGAATTTCATATATGAGTATTGTATTTGCATTATTTTCACCCCTCCCATTCCCCTTCCTACTCCTCCCATGGCCTCCACACTCTCTTAATCTCTCCCAATTTCTTGTCCTCTTATTTATTATTGGTGCATATACATACATACTATATAACACACACACACAACTGAGTTCATTTAGTGGCGTTCTTGTGGACATGCAAAAATCCTTCATTGCTTCTTTTACTCATTTTCTTCCCTACATAGAAAGTGAGTACAATGTCAAAAGTGCAAAATTCTCTTTTGTCTTTGAGGCTGTGAACACGAAGATGAAGGCGTATTTCTCTTTTTAAAGCCACTGTAATATGTTTTGGCGTTTTTATTCAGTCAATGGCATCATTACAAGCCTATTACTGTTTTAAAAGTGTTTCAGGAATTAATTCATCTAACTTAAACAACATTAATTCACACAAGGAACAGTTGTTGATAGAAGGCACCAATGCCACAGTTTTATAAGGAAATGGACTCTCAAAGGACTGAAATGAGCAGAAAACATCTAGTGTTTGAATTTGTCTGATACAAAACCACGTCCTTCTCTTGTATGAGGACCTTGGAAATTCTAGGACAATGGGATTTAAAGTTCTTTCTATAAAGGTGAAGAGGGTGGAGAGTTTATTCAAGATCTTGCCAGTCAGGGTAATGAAGAACTCCACCTCATTTTGTTAATCAAGTGAAGGATTGACTGTTTTACTTTCTACTTAGATTTCTTCACTATGTATTTGACACAATTCTCCCTGACACACTTTTCCATGTAAGACTCACAGTGTGTGTGGTGGGCAATGGTTTGGAATATTCATTTGTCACAGGTTCTCAAAGCTTTGTGTTCATCAGCATCACCCGCAAGGTTTGTTAGAGCACAGATGGTTGGGCTTCACAGCCTGAGTTTTGGATTTAGCACATCTGCTGTCAGGCCCACAAATCTACAGATGCTGTTGCTTATCTGGGAACTGCATTCTAAAAACCATAGTCACAGACTTTTTAAAACTCTCTTGGAAAAAAGGATGAATCTAGTACTTTTCTGGATCCTAAACAAATTTCCAGAACTTTTATGAAACATGTACACCATAAGTAACTATCTTAAGTATAATACCTCCCAATATTAAATGAGATACTAGAACAGATACCAATTTTGGGCAGAGAAACAGTATAAAAGGCCAAATTTCAGAAACATCATATGAAAGCCTTATTTAATAAAGCAGTGAATATATAATCATAAAAATACTGAAGAACTTGATTCTTCCTTTTTTTATTTAATGCTTTGGATAATCTTATCAATGGGCATGAAAAAGGCAGAGGCTAGCAACATCGTGCTATGAGGTGTGTGTGCACGCAGGTGAATATGTGACCACTTGAGTGGGTGAATATTCTTCACTAAGCTACACATATGTGTCCTAAAGTATTGGGAGGTGTATATCCTGGGATATAATTTTAGAGAAAAGGTGTTTCTAGGTCTTCTTTCTAAATTAGTCAAAAAATGTAAAGTTAAGATAGACCTAAAAAAATCATGCAACTAAGCAGCCACATAATACGGTCAGAGAGGACTTGTTTTTGTAGTAAGAATTTTAAGAAATGTTAACAGACTACTTAGTCTATGCCCAGCACTTTGCAAAGTCACTCTGTTTAGTCCTTATGTCGCCTTGAGATAAACTTTCTCAGTTGTCCCATTCTCTGTGGAAAAGAATTGAGGTTAAGAGGTTGAGGAAATTGCCCAAGATCACACAGCTAGTTCATGTTGAAAACAAGATTTAGAGACAGGTTGTCTTGCTCCAGTGGCTGTCCCCTGAAACATTAGATGATATTTATAGATCTCAGTCTCGAGATCTATAAAGTTTGCATTTCCAGGGCCTATTTTATTTTGGCTTCGCGTTGATATAGGGATGCATGTGATGATCCAATGTGATATTACATCTATCTGATCTAGACCTGTAATAAAGCCTGTGACATCATCACAAACCAAGCATCCTCTGATCTGCATGCTTTTCACAGAGTTGACATAATGCCCAAACAAAGAAGAAAAAATATGCTGTTTTATTTGGCTCATGTTGCCTTATTCTGGCAAATGTACTATTTCCACCAGGCTTTTAATAATGCTGATGATAATTCCCAGACACCCATTCATAAATTTACTGATAAGTGCTTATCATGCACACAATAGAGTCTAGGGACTGCAAGGTGAGTAAGGTAGACATAGCCATTAACCTGGTGCCTCCTATAGCTTGAATCTGGCCTGACTTAAAAACTCACTTTGCTAAAATCAGCTCTATTAGGTGACTGGATATCCCTTTTGTTCCTCCAAGAATGGAATGGGATTTGCTAGAGCATTCTTATCTGGGAAAAGTCTTACAGTATTTGCCTTCTCCCTCTCTGTGGCTCTACTGTGAGCTACTTGGAGCATTTAAGTACATTAAAAAAGAAAGAAGGTACATGATTGGATTCAAACTTCAAGGAGGCAAAGCTACTGCTTTCAAGGTGATAGGCCTCCTCTAGATTCCTACCTTGTCTGTCAGTTCCTTGGGCTCTTGTTCACAGGGCCGCACCATGCAGAGCCGAGTCTGCTTCACCATCTCACACTGGCGGTTCTTGTTGGTGACCCGGGTGGACAAACCCATTCCACAGCTCTTGGAGCATGCACTCCACTCTGTGGTCTGCTCAATGCAGTTGATACTGGAGTCAGAGACATCAATTCCCACGGTGGCTTCTGGCCTATAGGCTATGGGGGGTATATATAAATAGTTATCTGGGTAAATTTTAGGGACCAGAATGTACTCCCTTCAGACAATATTAAACCAGATTTGAATTCTGTAGCCAAAATACACTAATGCTCCCAGGTCACGGAACTGGATTTCTTTTTAAATCCCCAACAGGCAGCTCAGTGCTACATTGGTACAGTGGTATATTGTAGGATTTCAAGAAATCTTTATTCACCTGACCCTAAAAAGCTTAGGACAACTTGACTTAAGCTTTATTGTAAGAAGTAGTTATGTAAAACAGGACAGTAGAGCATCAATAGTTAATCGATACACTACCGTGTTTTCAACACATGATTTTATAAAGGATCGTGATAACATTTTTGTTTTTGATATGTACATGTGTGCAGGTGTGTGTGCATGTTCAAATGTTTGCAAATGCATATGCATGTTTATGAATACATTTGTACAGGCCAGAGGTCAACCGCAGGTGTTTTCCTCATGAGCTACATCTTTCACTTGGATCTAGGGTTCATTGACTAGGCTAGTCCAGCTGGTCAGTGAGCCCCAGGGTTCTGCCAACCTCCACTTCCCAGAGTTAGGGTTATAAACATACTGGCTTAAATTTTTTTTTAAATTAAGAAGTATTTTATTATTTTTATTTTATGTGTATGATTGCATTGCCTGCATGTATCTAAGCGTGCCCATGTCATGCAATGCCTGCAGAGGTCAGAAAAGGGTGTCAGATCCCCTGAAACTGGAATTACAGATGGTTGTTAGCTGCCATGTGGGTGCTGGAAACTGAACCCAGGTTTTCTGCAAGAGCAGACAGTGCTCTTAATCGCTAAGTCATCTCTCCAGTCCCATGTCTTTAAATATTTTATTATTTTTATTTTATGTGTATGAGTGTTATGCCTGCACGTAGGCAAGTGCACCCCATGCTGTGCAACGCCTGTGAAGGACAGAAGAATCCCCTGGAACTGGAGTTACGGACAGTTGTTAGCTGCCAAGTGGGTGCTGGGATTCAAACCCAGGTCTTCTGCAAGAACAGCCAGTGTTCTTAACCACTGAGCCATCTCTCCAGCCCCCAGTCCCATGGCTTTCAAACATTTTTACAAGGATGAAGAGGATGGAACTCAGGTCCCCATGCTTGTACTGCAAGCATCTGATGACTGAGCCTACATTGAATTTTGATGAGTAAGTAGAACCAGCAAAATCAAAGTAATGATGAAAGCAGCACTTTGCTTTTGGGAAGTAGAATTGGCTGTTTCAGTTCTGGGATAAATACAGACACTTGGACTCTGGTTATAAAGCATTTTGTGTCACCACCCACATGCATGCCTTGGAGCATATCGCTTCTTGGCAGTTCTCCTATCTGCTAGCTATGACTGATCATTTCTGACCTCAGAAATACTGTAAAACTGTAGATATTGCCAATATAAATAATCTGCTGGTTAATGACTTCTAAAATATTCTCTACTGCCTCTTGAGACAAAAAAAAAGATGTAATTTATGTCAGGCATGGTGGCATGTGCCTTTAATCCCTGCTGTTGGGAGGTAGAGTCAGGCAGATCTCTGTGAGATCAAGGCCAGCCTGGTCCACATAATGAATTCCAGGTGAGCTGGGTCTAGGGAGACCCTGTCAAAAAAAAGATGCAATTTATAAGATAATACAAAAGAAACACAGAAGTCCTGAAATGTCACTTGCCTACAGCATCCTGTAGATATGGTATCTCCCTGTGACACTTGTCCAGGGAGGCTGGCTCTGAGAGAATGCATGTAGTATGTAGAATCCAGAAAAGAAAAGGGAATTTTTGCTAAGAGTCAAGCAGGATGGATAAACTCAAGCAAAGAGTAGTTATTCAATAAGGAAAAAAATGAGATAAAAGGTGACCAAATCAGGGGACTGGAGAGATGGCTCAGCAGTTAAGAACACTGGCTGCTCTTGCAGAGGACCTGGGTTTGGTTCCCAGCACCCATATGGCAGCTACCAATAGCCCCTAACTCCAGTTCCAAGGGATCTGATGCCCTCTTCTGACCTCAGCATTGCACAACACAAGTGCACTCACATACATGCAGGCAACTCATAAACATAAAATAATAAATAAAGCATTTTTAAAGTGACCAAATCAATCATGTCCTCTTTAAGAGAAGCTGTGTGCATAAGCCAGTAACCTAGCGTGGACTTACAATACATGATGTGCTTGATCTCAGAAGGCAATGTGGAATTTGCAATGGGATGGCCAAGCAAGCCAGCTTCTCATCACAAATCTCAAAGAGCCATACTTGCTTCATGCCTGCATTTACCCTAAATCTCCGCTGTTTGCTGAATTGCTCACCTGGAAGGGCCAAGCCTCCTAATGTCTCCTCATCTGGGCCACAGGTCCACTTTTCACAGCATTCTCCTGGCACTGCGACTTTTCTTGGAGCTGGGCAGTCAGGACCCGGCAAAAGCACATCCAGCTGGCAGCGGGGCACACAGCCAATCTGCCCATCTCTGCAGGTGCAGTGGTATTGGCAGTTTGGTTCGAACTTCTCTCCGCTGCGGTAAATGACCCCATCGAACACACAGTTGTCTCCTTCAAGTACTAGAATATTTAAGAAGCAAGGCAAAGGGGAGAGAAGAAAAACAGAACCACAATTCACTGGTAGAGCTATGTGAGATTGGGGGCCCATGTTCAGAAGCTGTTCCTTTTCTAGTTCAGGTGACTGGTTTCTTACACATATCAAAGGGAGTGATGCTCTCATGGAGGCATCCCAAAGCTAGAAGAAGCCACCAAGCCCACCTGGTCCTTGTAAATGAGCAAAGAAGCATGGAAGTACTGCAGGCTCTGGCCGTTACCAATAGAAATGTTCTGGGTCATTGACGGCTTCTAGAACATCTCTATTTCTTTTGAAACGCCCCCCCCCCGACTATTTCATCTGTAAGGTAAAAGAAAAGCAAGTACAACTGCAAAACCACATTCCCATGACTCCGTCTACATTGCTCCTCATGAAGATACCATTTCCCAAGAAACACCTTGGATTCTCCTACTCCAGTCCTTTAGGTTTAAAAAGAAGGTGATGGTAGAGGAACACTTTTTATTCTCCAGGTAAGTTCACTGGTCACATTGGGAAGGACGTTAGGATTTCTTGGCATCAAAGCACAGAAAATTATTACTAGCTTAAAGAAAAAGAAGAAAAGGCTACCCCAAACCCTTTTATAGAGGAGGGTGGGGTAGCCCTGATTACAGCAGTGGCAACTCGGGAAATTGATCTCCCATTGATTTGGGATTGGCTAGTTGCCTGCATTTTATTTTACTGCAGCCCAGACAGAGGTGACATAGTCTTCCCAGGAGACCAGGAACTGCTTTGGCTCAGAGGACAATTACAGGTGTGGAAACAAACTCGGCTGGTCTGCAGTTGGGGAAACTGAAACCCTGTGGCTAAGCCCAAGCTCCCATCACCCCAAGTGTTCCCCTGGAAATGGCCAAAGGAAATGATTTGACTGGCCCTTAACGCTGCTTTGCACCCCATTTGTTTAGATTCTTCTTTAGGGGATAAGTGATGAATACCTCTTACTTCCACGGAGTACCTTTCCTCTCATCCTCTTGGCGAACCCCCAAACCCAAACACCCAGATCATGCCCAGTGGACAGTAAGTTCTTCATAAATGTGGTTTACTGTATTATTGTTACTATTGGTTTTTGCTTAGTTCTCTCCCAGTAAGGGAAGAACAGGAGAGAGGGAGGGAACAGTTCCACCTATTTGCGAGAGGCCAGGCCGCGGGTGGGAACAGCGGAGGGGGCCAGGATTACCCATGCAGATGCCAGTCTGGTTGCTGGGGTCTGCGCTGCGGTCGCAGTAGAGGCCACTGCTCTGGTCGCACGGTCTCAGCTCGGAGCAGCTTTCTCCGCGCTGGCGGGCGCACACAAGACAGCAGGAGCAGCCGTCCAGCACCGCGCGCACCCCGGGGGCGCAGGTCGGCGGCGTCGTGGGACACTCGCGCGGGCACGGCGACGGGCAGCGCTGAGTCGTAGAGACCTAGGAAGGGTGGCGAGACAAGGAAGCGAACCTTGATCTGCAGGGGCAATTCAAAGTGGAGCAAACCCGGGATCGCCCAGGAGGACCAACTAACCCGGGGCATCTTAAGCGTGCGCCACTTACTTGGCCCAGGAGATAGAGCAGGAAGCTTAGGCAGAGGCATCGCTTCTGCAGGAAGGGGCTCATCGTCTGCACGCTCCGCATGCTAAAGCTGTCACAAAACCAGACTTCCCAGGCTGTAGCTGGGCACTGGCCGCCTTCGCCCAGGTCCGGCTGACTGGCGAGCGCCACCGGTGCAGGTTTTATAGCGCGCTCCTGGGACGCTCACAAGCCGGTTGGCTGCCGCGCTGGGAGGAGGGGGATCGGCTGGGTGGGGAGGTGGAAGAAACCCCACCGTTACCATGGCGATTGGCCCCAAGGCCTCTCTCCTTAGGGCGCGGCGCCGGGCCTGCGTGTGCCTGTGTGTGGCGACTGCCTTTTCCCAGAGCTCTGGGAGGGGCTGGGTGGAGCCCCGCGCCAAGACCCAGGGCCGCTGGAACGCGTGGGAAGGAAACGCCTGTTTCCTCCTGGAAGTTGCTGCACCTTCCCCCAGGAGGAAGACCTTGCCATTCCTCAGAACCCTCCGCCCTAGCTGTTCCAACCAGCGCTGCAAGCTTGGGGCCCTTTTGACTGGGATGCCTAAAGTTTGGGGCCGCATGGGAGGGGGGCGGAATTGGCCAGAGGCCCAAGGGTTTAGTCATAAGGGAAGCACATGCAAGTTTGTCACCGGTTATTAGGGCTCTTGCTTGCATGTGTTGAGGGTGTGGGAAAAAGGTAAGGGGACACACAGACACACACAAAAGAAATAAATGGGAAATAAAACAACATAAAAAAGAAGTACTTTGTCAGAGTGGGGCGATGCTATTGACCAAATATCCAAATTCTTTTAATTGTAATCCCTACAAGTTTTGCTAAGTCTTAAGATCCAAGTTCCACAGGCTCTGTAGACTCACAAGTAAAAAGTTATATACAAAGAAAAAGGAAAACAAAACAAAACAAACAGCAACAAGAAACACTTCTTGGTAGAGGAAAGTCTTTAAATACCTGTGGTATCATACCAAATATAAAACAGCACTTTTAACAGACCAAGAACTAGGGTGTGCTTAGTAAATGTCCAAGCCCCAGTGAATTGGGGACTGGACGTGTGAGGTAGTTACTTCTCCCACTTAGTTGATAAATATCTTTCCCACCTGACAAAAAATAAAGCTTTTTCACTTGCAAAAAAGAAAGTTTTTTTGTGTGAAATGCTTGTCATCTCTCAGGAGAACAGGAAGTGTGGTTTTACTGCTCCAAACATGACACTGTGTGAAAGATTTAAAACAGTTTTTCCCCCTGTACTTTAACTTCCTGTTGCCCTTGGGAAAACCATGGCCATGTCCTTTAAGGATAGCTACTTTGGAAAGACAATTATACAGGCCTGTGATATGATTCCAGACTTTAAAAACAAATGAATAGCCTCTACATCATGTATGTTTAGCAGGAGGAGCATCAATGGCAACTTGGATATTGGCCTGGCAGGTCCCTACAGCATCCTCAATGATGGATGAAGTCACCTCTAAGCCCTTTGGATAGTTTTCTGCAGCTTGGAACTGCCCTGACGCATTCCTACAACTCCAACAATTCTGTTTTCTTTAGGTAAGTGTGGCAGAGAAGCACTCAAAGTTCAGAGATGGAGCAGCTAATTAGCACATTGGACTTGGACACCATATACCCTTCATGTTCATGGGCTTCATGCATTACCTGGCCCAGTGATGCCTTAGAAACATCATAGTTCATAATTTTTATGAACTGCAGATTCTTGGGCCTGACCTTAGGCCCACTACCTTAGACCTACTCTGTGGTGGCTCTTGGCATGCTGCATTTTAATCAAGCTGAAATGGGAGCTGACTTTGGGGAAAGCTAGATAGAGAGCAAGAAGCAGTCATCATGTTCTCGAAGTATGCATAGACTAAGTCAGGATGAGGGCAAACAGCAACACTGAGGTTGGGCTAACTCTCAGAAGGGTGCGAAGGAGATGGAGGTGTAACTCGAAGACAAAGATGGCGGTGGCAGTTACTGTTAGTAGGACTAAGAAGCTGCTCAGGGCTCTTGTTGGTGAATGATAAAGTCCAAGCTTGAATGAGTTTTAGGAAAAAGAGCCATTTGCTGGAAGGATGTTGTGATGTTTCCATAGTAACTGAATGGGAAGGGTACAACTCGTCCTCAGGGCCTTGAAGGCTGACGGGACCCCATCTCTCTCTTCACAGCTTCATTGTGTGGTGATAACATAAGCCAGCTTCTTCCCTATAAGGGGAGATGATCCTTCCAAACTTCTGATTTTATGACCACATCATCATAGAAGGATTGTCCTGTCTCCTTAGACTTAATTTAGAAAATTGAGGACAAGGGGTCTACAGGTAATTCTGGGTTCATCTGAGAGATAAGGAAAGTGAGGTGTGGGGATTAGGTAACATGTGTCACTGGAACAGAAAGGAAGAACAGTTTCCTAGGACATAAGGGATTGTTCTTTAAGTGGAAAGCAAACAACATGCAAAACAATGCGCCTCTATACTATGATCTGCTATAAGCAGACATGGATAAAGATCCCTACATTGAAACAGCTGTGAATCAAAGGCGAGAACATCTAATGGTGCTCATGTCATGTCAAGCTTCATGTGGTCCTCGGTGCAGAACTGGTATGCCATGCTCATCTCTGACATCACTTTATGATCAAGGTTATGTTTGGGGTCAACCTGCTTGTCCTGCCTGGAAGACTCTTGACGACAGATCATATTCACTGTGACATTCCCAGCTTCTACTATAGGGACAGGCAAGTGGTCAGTTGTCCGAGACCTTTTGGTATACTACAAACCTCACTTTACTTTCTGCCACTTGCCAGTAACCCTTCAGGAAATGAAGTAAGAAAAAAGTGGAGGCTGCTTATTCCCCAGTGGCTGAAGAGGCTAAAGAGGTGTTTGTAGGCATGACCTACCTGCTCCGTTGTGTGACTTGTCTCCACCTTTCATGGCATGAAGAATCTGAAGGTTAACATATAGTCTGGGATCTTTTCTTCAAAACAAACCATGTAGCAGTTGAAGTCTCTGGGAAGGTCAAGAAGTCCTTATTAGAAATGCTTGCTGAATTGCTGGACTTGGCAGCCAACCAAGATTAGATAGGGTTATAAACTGTAAAGGCTTTTGATTTATTTTTTTCTCTTCACCTCTCCCTCTCTTACTTTCTCCAGTTCCAGATCTGACACCACAGGCTCTTGTCTGCCTTTTTCTGCATCAGATAGGCTTTTAATTGATACATAACCTCACTACTATCAGTCAATACTCCTGCCCAGAACACACTTAGAGGACTTTCCCTACTGTATAAACATGAAATGCTCTATTGCTGTTGTGTTATCTTTCTTTCTTAAAAACATTTTATTTATTTATTTTTTATGTGTATGTGTGTATTGCCTGCATGTATGTGAGTACACCCATGTCATGCCGTTGGAGGTCAGAAGAGGGCGTCGGATCCCTGGAATTGAAATTATGGATGTTTGTTGGCCATCATGTGGGTACTGGGTTAGCCACCATGTAGGTGCTGGGAACACAACCCAGGTCCTCTGCAAGAGCAGAGCAGCCAGTGCTCTTAACTGCTGAGCCATCTCTCCAGCCCCTGTGTTATCGTTCTCATGATTTAAAAAACTTTTGGAGAATACTAGCCATTTGCTTCTATTGTGTATTGTAACCTTGTCACCCTCACAACTCCTTCATAACTGTCTTGCTTATGTGAATTTCCTTCACATGCCCTTTTCCTGGGGTCCCAGGGAGTTGGTAGAGCACACCAAAAAAAAAAAAAAAAAAAAAAAAAAAAACTCAACCAGTTATATGGTGAATTTCAACCACACCCTTAGTTTTCTGACAGATCCCTTGACTTCTTATTTTTTCAGAAACAATGAGAAACAGAAGAAATAGTGATGGGAGGTGAAATATTAAATTTATAGTATTTATGGTCTAGGGAGATGGTTTAGTCAGTGAAGTGTTTACTATGTAAGCAGGAGTTTAGATCTCCAGCACCCACATAAAAACCAGGAGTGGTGGTGTGCTTCTCTAACCCCAGCACTGTGAAGATGGAGTCAGGTCGACCCCAGGGGACTTACTGGCCAGCTAATGTAGCCTAATTGAGCTCCAGGTTCAGTGAGACCCTATCTCAAAAAATAAGGTGAAGATGCCTAACTTTGACCTTTGGCGCACGCGCACACACACACACACACACACACACATGCACACACACAACAAATTTAATGCTGTCTTTTTAAATATTATTTTTCTATTGCATACATTTTAAAAGTTAAAACAAAATTTAATGAATTTCATTTTTGTAAATTTTTATTGAGTTTTTGTGTATTTTATAGAGATGTCTGAATCATCTTTATACCTCCTTCCTCATTGGACCCTCCCATAGTCTCCCCTCCACTGGAATTTATGCATTCTGTCATTTGTGTTAAAGCCTATTGAGTCAAGTTGGTGTCCCCAGGTATCTCTCAGTGCAAGTTGGGCTTAGGGACCATTGCAGAAGAGGGGGTGGAGAGATTGTAAGAGCCAGGAAGGTGGTACATAACCATATGGAAATAGAGTCTTACAGGTTCCTGGGACCTTGCTCATATGAACCTACAGCAATGGTGTCAGCATGTACGAGACCCATGCAAACTCAAGCAGACAAAAACCCAGCATAGAACTGTGGAAATGGGCAGCAGGTCCTGATCTTAGCCAAAGAACTATTGGCAGCTGAATACTGCTGGGTGAGGAATTGCTGGTTTTCTTAAAGGGAGGGACTCTAGATAGGCTGATTAGACCTCAGTGGATGAATTTCTTTTTAAAGATTTATTTACAATTTTAATGTATGTGTATGTGTGTAAGCCTGCATGAAGACATGTGCACTTGAGCATCAGGTCCCCTGGAACTGCAGTTACAGGCAGTTGTGAGCCACAATGTGGGTGCTGTGAACCAAATCCAGCTCCTCTGAAAGAGCTATAAGTGCATTTAACTGTTGAGCATCTTTCCAGTTCTTTTAATAAGTTTCTTTCAGAAAAAAAAAGTCCAAGAGATTAAGGAAGGATAATTCAAGCTAAAAATTGAAGGAAATTTGAGAAACAAGTTAAATTTTTTCCAGTAGCTAAGGACTTCCTTTTAGGGAAATTGTGCTTTGATATTCAAATCATGTTTTAAAAGTTTCCTGAATTGGAAGAGGAGTCTGTCTCTCTTATATCTAGGCTGCATTCCCAACCATCTCCTGGTCACCAGCACTGCCCTTCTCTATAGACAGTCGAAGTAAGTGGCTTTGGGCCACTTGGCAGAGTGAAGATGTTTACATGACTAGAACTCTGTAGACGGGGAGTTGGCCCTGGAGACA